TAATTTATTACTTTATTAAGCAATGAAATCAAAGATTAAAATGGTATCTATAGCACATAGCTAACTAGATTGTGAAAAATGAAACTATATGGTTTCAAATTTATGAAAATAAATATTTCTATTTAAATAAGTGCAGTAGTTTACTTTAATTCTTTAGACACCAGTCTAATTTGTAGTTTACTGGTGATTATTTTTCTTCGTTTTAAAGTAAATTGCTTTCTGTAGGGTGAAGTTGAGAAATAATGAATTGAATTCACATTACAAGCTGCTGCCTCCCAAATTGTAAATGAATATAAATGTAATAGGAGCATACTATTAAAATCTTTTGCAAAAGACTATGCTATATTGTTGCAGTAAACAAATACATTTTTCAAGCCATCGATTCATTTAATATTGCGTTTCTACTTGGCCTTTATTTTAAGGGCTTCTGTGCCTACTGCTGCTACTGTCTCCAAATGCCTTAACATGTGTTGTCTCTTCGGAGCAAAAAATAACATTGTTAGTTTGTGTCATTTACTGTAGTAGTTGATTAATGACCTGCTTTAAAGGTAAATCAGTGAACATATTTTAAGATGTGTTTGCTCAGGATGGGAAATCCTTGTCTACCCATTCTGTATTGTCAGACAGAGAGAGAGGAGCAGTCAGGCAACTGGGAAAGGCATAGGCTGTGTTCAGCACTAGCTTTGTTCCAAAACTTTTATTTCCACTCAGTGTACTTAGAGGATAATTAGCAATTACCAATCAAAAAGATGGAAGATTTTTACAAATTCCACCGCTCATTAATCTGAGCTGCTGTTGACAAGAATTGGAAATTTTAGATAAGTGGAGAGGAGGACCTGAGTGTCCCACCAGGGAGAAGTGTTCTCGCCTCTGACTTGGGCAACAACCACAGCTTAACTGCTGTGGTTAAGTGTTCTTAATCCTTACCAGAAGCTTGTGGCGTAATAGGTTAAGGAAAAGCAGAAACTCAGTAATAGCGATGGAACAGAAGTTGCACAATGTAAATGCTAATTTCTTGGTTTGCGTTCCTGGTAGTAGCTATAAAATAAACCTAGGGAGGTGTGCACTGAAATCCCCCAAACCAAACTGCTGTGTTGTAGTTTTATGCGGAACAGCAGCTGTCCACAGCACATGGAGGAAGAACCCCAAAACCAGTTCTGGATGAATGAGAGCCAGCGAGGACTTCTTCAGTTGTTGTTCCTCCCACCCCCTTGTATAAGGAGGACAGAGAGATGGAAGGAGTCAGCAGGGTTTCAACTGAGAATTACTTTCATCTTCATTCCTGTCAGCTCCAATTCTGCAAAATGCCTGAACACATCTTTACTTATGTATGTTCAACCATTGACTTCAATGTGAGATAAAGTTTAGCACATGCTTAAATGCTTTCTTGAACTAGGGCCAAAAGCTGCTGCTGCTGCTGCTAAAATCAATCCCAGAAAGAACTCTGCATCTTTCATTACTTCCTTTTTTGTATACAAAGATGCAGGCTCCACCAAGCTTTGGAAATATGGTAGGAATTGATAAATATCACCTGCCTTTTTTAAAGGAGTGGAGCAGAATTGTTGGAATGACAGAGCATAAATTATATATTATCTTCCTTTCTCTCCTGTCCCGTATGCATGCTCTTTAATGGTCATTACTAAACGAGGGCTGTAGAGTGGCAAGAGACTCACTGAGGCACTGCGTTGTTTTTCCATCGACTACAGGCACAGCCAAAATGAAACGAGTTTAGGTGTTTTCCCCTGCTTTGAGACTGTTCAGAAGCTTGCATCTTTGCTAGAAATCTTCATTGCAACGTTTACTGAAGTCTGACTTACCTTGAGCCGCTTTGTTCTTCTTGATTTGCACAGGCAAACACACACATATGCACACTTACCCCCCTCGTCTGGGAGTATTGATTTAACCCTGCGTATTTGTAGAGGAAACAAGCCAAAATCAGGCCAATGCACAGTAGTCACAAAGTGGTCCAAAGTAGCTCTGTGTTGGTCTTGTTGACACTGCAGATAGCAGCAACAATCCGTCGGCTGATGGGCTGTGTCTGTCTCTTGCAAAGCATTACGCACCTCTAATACAAGACACTTGCTGGGTAGCTATCGCGGGTTAAGACCCAAAATGCGCTCTGTGAGAACACCTCCCAGTCATATTGTCGGGTTAAGTTGTGTGGAGGGATAGTGACGAATAGACTGCTGTTCTGAATGAGCACCTGAGGATGCGGCCACCTGGGTGCCAGGCTGCAGCACCGGGCGGCGGCAGGGAGCACACCACGGGAGAGAAGCTCCTCTGCTTAGTGACAGAGCTCCAGGAGGAGATGAGTAGGTTGAGGAGTAGCAGGGAGTGAGAGAGAGAGAGAGAGAGAGAGAGACACACCATGGGGATCGCGCCTTGCCTTCCCTGGGACAGGCCGAACAGGCAGGCGGGACACGTGATACAGAGGATGCCCTATCCTCTCTCCATCTTGCTGAAAATGGGGACGTAGGGGATAGGGGGTAATGACGACAAGTTCCTTCCTGGTGCAGCAGGAGCATCTTCTCCATGACTAGCCCACCTTCCCACCTGCCCTTGCAAAATAGGTATGAGGCTCTGCAAGTGAAACCGAACAGTAACAAGGGTGATGGCTCATTTAGCTTGGAGGTGTCGCTGAGGTTAAGTCGGCCTCAAAACTGCTTCTGTAAAGAAAATAAGACAGGTCGTTGTCATTGGAGACTCCCTTCTGAAGGGAACAGAATATGCAAACCAAACCTGCTTCTTAGGGAAATCTGCTGCCTTCCTGGGGCCTGAGTTAAAGATGTGAAGAGAAAATTTCCTACCCTGGTACGGCCCTCAGATTATTATCCATTATTGATTTTTTAGGTAGGCAGTGATGAAGCTGCAACAAGAAGTCTGAGGGCAATCAAGAGAGACTTCAGGGCTTTGGGATGACAGGTTAAGGGATCAGGAGCACAAGTAGTGTTCTCCTCTATCCTTCCAGTTGCAGGGAATGGTGATGCAAGAAACAGGAAGAGCCAGCAGACTGGCTCTGAGCCTGATGTCACTGGCAGAATTTTGGGTTTGTTGATCATGGGTTGGTTTACATGACACCAGGCCTGCTGGCAACGGATGGAGTGCACCTATCTCAAAGGGGGAAAAGAGTCTTTGCACAGGAGTTAGCAAGGCTCATTGAAAGAACTTTAAACTAGACTTGAGGGAAAGGGTTAAATCCAAGCTCGCTAGAGATAAGCCTGGGGGCTGCATGCCAGTATTCGAGAAATGTCGTGTGTGCTAAGAGGTCCTTCGGTCTACCATCTCAGTGGAGGCAGAAGATGGAGATCCATGTGGCAGCAAAGACACGAGGGTTATTGATGTGTTAAAAACCGCAGAAGCACCTGAGAATGGTTACATAGGATTTAGAGCTTCTCCCCCAAAAAGGTGGTGAGATCAATAGCCCAACTGGAGTGCATCTCTGCACCAATGCATGCAGCATGGGCAACAAACAGGAGAAGCTGGAAGCCATTGTGTAGCAGAAAAACTATGATATAGTTGCCATCACGGAAACATGGTGAGATGACTCGCACAACTGGAGTGCTGCAGTGGACGAGTATAAAATCTTCAGAAGGAATGAGCAAGGAATGAGAGGGATGGGGTAGCCCTGTATGTTAGGGAGTGTTTTGATTGTCTAGAGCTTAATGGTGGACGATAGGGTTCAGTGTTTATGGGTAAGAATCAGTGGGAAGGCCAACAAGGTACATATCTTGGTGGGAGTCTTAAAGACCACCCAACCAGGATGAAGAGGCAAACAAAATATTCTATAAGCAGCTGAGAGAATTCTTCGAATTGCTAGCCCTTGTTTTTGTGAGGGACTCAACTTACCAGATATCTGCTGGAAATACAATACAGCAGAGGGGAAACAGTCTAGGAGGTTCCTGGAGTGTGTGGAAGGTAACTTTTTAACACAGCTGGTGAGTGAGTCAACTAGGGAAGGCATCCCACTGGACCCGTTTTTCATGAACAGAGAAGGACTTGCGGGTGATGCGATGGTTGGAGGCTGTCTTGGACATGGTGATCGTGAAATGGTAGTTTTCGATTCCTGGAGGAGGAAGAAGGGACCTCGGCAGAACTGCTGCCTTGGACTTCCAGAGGGCAGACTTTGGCCTGTTTAGGAGCCTGGTTGACTGAGTCCCTTGTGAGGCAGTCCTGAAGTGCAAAGGAAGGCTGCACATTCTTCCAGAAGGAAATCTTCAAGGTGCAGGAGCGGGCTGTCCCCATGTGCTGAAAGACAAGCTGTCCAGAACAAGACTGGTCTGACTGAACAGAGAGCTTTGACTGGAACTTAGGAAAAAAAGAAGAGTTTATGACGTTTGGAAGAAGGGGCAGGCAAGTCAGGAGGACTACAAAGATGTCATGAGGTCATGCAGGAAGAAAATTAGAAGGGCCAAGACCCAACTAGAACTTAATCTGGTTACTACTGTGAAAGACAATAAAAAAATTTTCTGTAAATACATTAGCAATAAAAGGAGGGCTAAGGAGAATCTCCATCCTTTATTGGATGAGGGGAAACATAGTGATAAAAGATGAGGAAAGGCTGAGGTACTTAATGCCTTCTTTGCCTCAGTCTTTAATAGTAAGACCAGTTCCCTGGGTACCAGCCCTCTGAGTGGAAGACAGAGACGGGGAGCAGACTGAAGCCCCCATAATCAGGGAAGGTGGTTAGTGAGCTGCTACACCGCTTGAACACACACAAGTCTATGGGGCTGGATGGGAGCCACACAAGGGTACTGAGGGAGCTGGCAGAAGTGCTCACCAAGTCACTTTCCGTCATTTATCAGCAGTCCAGGCTAACTGGGGAGGTCCCAGTTGACTGGAAGTTAGCAGAAGTGACACCCATCTACAAGAAGGGTCAAAAGAAGGATCAGGGGAAATACAGGCCTGTCAGTCTGATCTTGGTGTCAGGGAAGGCTATGGAGCAGATCATCTTGAGTGCCATCACATGGCATGTACAAGACAATAGCTGATCAGGCCCAGTCATGGGTTTACAAAAGGTAGGTCTTGCTTGTCTAACCTGATCTCCTTCTATGACAAAGTGACCCACTTAGTGAATGAGGGAAAGGCTGTGGGTATTGTCTACCTAGACTTTTGTACAGCCTTTGACACCATTTCCCACAGATTCTCCTGGAGAAACTACCCACTTGTGAGTTGGATGGGTGTACGATTCGCTGGGTAAAGAACTGGCTGGATGGCCGGGCCCAGAGAGTTGTGGTGAATGGAGTTAAATCCAGTTGGTGCCCAGTTGGAAGTGGTGTTCCCCAGGTGTCAGTTTTGGGGCCAGTTCTGTTTAATATCTTTGTCAATGATCTGGCTGAGGGAATCGAGTGCACCCTCAGAAAGTTTGCAGATGACACCAAGTTTGGCAGGAGCATTTATCTACTTGAAGGTAGGAGGGCTCCACAGAGAGATCTGGACAGGCTAGATTGATGGGCCAAGGCCAATTGTATGAGATTCAACAAGGCTCAGTGCTGGGTCCTGCACTTGGGTCACAACAACCACATGCAACGCGACAGGCTTGGGGAAGAGTTGCTGGAAAGCTGCCTGGTGGAAAAGGACCTGGGGTTGTTGGTCAATGGCCAGCTGAATATGACCCAACAGTGTGCCCAGGCAGCCAAGAAGGCCAATGGCTTGTATCAGAAATAGAGCAGCCAGCAGGGCCAGAGAAATGATCATCCTCTTGTACTCAGCACTGGTGAGGCTGCTCCTCAAATGCTGTGTTCAGTTTTGGGCTCCTTACTACGACAAAGACATTGAAGTGCTGAAGCGTGTCCATAGAAGAGCAACGAAGTTGGTGAAGGGTCTAGAGGAGCCGCTGAGGGAACTGGGTTTGTTTAGCCTGGAGAAGAGGGAAGGCTCAAGGGAGACCTTACGGTTCTCTGCAACTACCTGAAAGGGTGTTGTAGTGAGGTGGGTGTCAGTCTCTTTTCCCAAGTAACAAGCGATAGGACAAGTGGAAATGGCCTCAAGTTGCACCAGGGGAGGTTTAGATTGGATATTAGGAAAAAAGTCTTCACCAAAAGGGTTGTCAAGCATTGGAACAGGCTGCCCAGGGAAGTGGTTGAGTCACCATCCCTGAAGGTATTCAAAAGACATGTAGATGTGGTGCTTAGGGACTTGGCTTAGTGGTGGACTTGGCAGTGTTAGGTTTATGATTGGACTCGATGATCTTCGAGGTCTTTTCCAACCTAAATGATTCAACGATGTTTTCTTCATCTCTTTTCTGACTGCAGAGCTCTTCTGTATCTCCCTCAGCCAGTTTCAGAACAGCAGAAAAGCACAGAAATTCAACAGATTATTCTTCAGATAGTAAAAAACAGAAGACAGAAGAGAAGGAAATAGCAGCTCGTTACGTGAGTAGATTGTCTGCATTGTGCATTGTTGAACTTAAGTCTTGCTCTGTAATTTCACCTGACTCCTGTTAAAAATTGAGAGTCAAATTTTTAACAGGTTCTTACTGCCTGCCTCTAACATCTGTGCTGGGTGGAAGGCTTCGGTGTGTAACATTGATAGTGTTTTTAACAATATAAATACAGAGCACCTGGAAGGCGTGTGACAAGAGGACTGAGCATTAGTTAGGTTGAGACGTGGTAGGTCTGGAGTCTAGCCTGGCTCCACTTCCCAGTACCGTTCAACTTTGGACGAGGATTTTCATCCTGTATCCTTGTTCACCAATGTGAAAACTGGGCAGAATGCTATAGCTGGGGCAACCTGTTAAGCAGAAGCCCTATAAGTGACCTAAATACTATAGTTGTATCACCATATAAAACTTAGTAAAAGTAATTGCTGTGTTGCATAGTTGTGAGCAGCCTCGCGTTTAAATTGATTTGTTTTTTCTCAGTACTTAAGAGACACTGGAACATCGCATAGATGTATTTAACACATTGTGATCTGTCATTACAGGACAGTGATGGTGAAAAGAGCGATGACAACTTGGTAGTTGATGTTTCCAATGAGGTATACACAATGGTGTTTTTTCTGCCTTACAGTTGTGGTGGGAGGGTTGTCTTCAGTGATTCAGGTTGTCTTCTGTGTGTATTTGGTATATGAGCAAGATTGCAGCCTTTGCCTTTATAAAGGAGCTTGAAATGCCTGAGGGAATCCAGTTAGGTTGTGTTTCTTTAGAATGTGAATCAGATCTGTAACATTTATTTCTTCAAAGGACCTTTTTGTTTCTTGTATGAACCAAAAGTGTGCTTGAGATATTTGAAGCCAGCCCAGCACAGCAGATAGGATACAGCTCATAACAGTGTCTGTGTTTTCTTTCACACGGCCATGACTTCATATGTGAACTTTTATCAGGTCTGCCAAGTGCCTCAAACCTTTTCAATCTGTCACCTGACAAATGAGATTTGCTTGCCTGTTCAAATATCCACAGATTTGTAACATTTTTTTCATGGTTAATAGCATGAACTTTTAGGACTCTCTTAAAAAAAAAAAAAAAAGTCTTTCATTATCCCTCTCAATTTCACAATTTTATCAGCTAAATCAATTAAGAACTGAAGGAAGATGTCATTTTTTGTGACAGATTTTCATTCCAAAGTGGGAATTAATCAAGACAAGCACTAGTGGCTAGTATGAAGTTTTTATACTAACCCATGTTGCTGATGTTTAGGACCCTTCCTCTCCCCGGGGAAGCCCAGCACACTCTCCACGGGAAAATGGCTTGGACAAGACTCGGCTGCTGAAGAAAGATGCACCAATTAGTCCGGCATCTATTGCATCCTCTAGCAGTACTCCTTCCTCCAAATCCAAAGAACTTAGCCTTGTAAGTGCTTCAGAATGCTCCTGACCCATGATCATATGCTGAAACACATGCTTACTGGATTTCTGTCTGGACACAGTTTGAATTTCCACAGCTATCAGTAAAGAACTGTGAAGCATCAATTTAAAATTTGTTTAATTTATCTCTTCAAGGGAATTTAATAAAATGGTAAGGAGAAAGTCCACAGCCTTTTTTTGGGATAGGAGAGGTTATTTTCATTGGTGGTGTAGGTAGATAATAGATGTGCTGTGCTGAGAGATGTTTTTCTCCTCCCCCATATGAAAAACTGTCATTCTGAGAGTAAATAAAAGTACACAGGGGTTCCTTGAGCTGTTTTCCTGTACTGTGGTTTATAGCAAATTCAGTTCCCCGCTTGGATGTGATTTGGTTGTTAGCTTTGTTTGAATTACCAGGCCATATACAACAACAATAATTTTTATTTTCTATCTAAAAAGTAATCTGTCATTTACAAGAACCTTCCTTGACTTGCATCGCAAATCACAATGCAAAAAAAGAGCTGCCTGCAAGTCGGGAGTGTTCTTTCCTTTCCTGTTTGTGACCACAGTTAATCACCTTCCTGAGCTGCACAGTAACTCTCCTCTCAGTTCTTCACAGGTCAGGGTACGCGATTATTTAAAGAAATAAAATAAATATAGAGAAAGCTTAAAGTGAATGTAGTGCTCAGGAAAGGTGACAGAATGATAGGTTCAGACCCAGGAGTCAGTGGATTGTCTGATGAACAAGTTTGTCACAAGAGTGGCACTGCACAGTTCCTGACTTTGTACCCATCACTGTCTCCGTATTCTGTTTCCCTCACCACCTTTGGGCATGAGTTGTTGATCACTTGTGGGTTTTTTTTTCTGCAATTTTTGTCCACCTGGCAGTGGCCTCTCACAGAAACTCATAATTGTAGTGGGAGCAGGTCCACCATAAGCAGAGTGAGACCACCGACAGGTTTCGCATGTGCTGCCAATGTAATTGTCAGAGAGCAATGATTTTCTGTCATTGACCTCATTCTGAATCATACAGATGCCCCTGATGAGGAAAGCTGTGAAGGCTGTAGTTAATTCCCAAAGCCATTCTGTCTTTTTCAGTGTCTCTGCAGCTTCTCTTCATCACTAGGGACTGTCGAAACTCAAACCCAAAAGCTAAATATCACTAATCACACACACTCTGCTGTCTTTCCAACCACTAGCTAAAAACGTAAAATAACTATCTTCCCTTTTTCTTTTTTGGTGACTAGAATGAGAAATCTACCACTCCTGTGTCTAAATCAAATACCCCAACTCCAAGGACTGATGCCCCAACTCCAGGCAGCAACTCTACTCCCGGACTGAGGCCAGTGCCCGGCAAACCCCCAGGTGTGGACCCGCTAGGTTAGTGTCCGTATATTTCAGTGGTTTTAAACGGTGGCCATTTGTCCTGAGCCAGGCTCACTTTAAGTCTAGAGTGACGAGGTAGTATATTACAGCTGCTTTAACTGGATGCTGAGCTGGTTCTTCTGCACTTTAATACAGTGCGTATATATATATATATGTTTATTTATTTATTTGTTTTTATTTTACTGTTTGCCAAACTTATATTTCATCTGATGAGTCTGGGCTGACTGTGTGACTTCTCTCTTTTTTTCTCCTTGATAGCTTCAGGTTTAAGGACACCTATGGCAGTGCCGTGTCCTTATCCTACTCCGTTTGGGATCGTGCCACATGCTGGCATGAATGGGGAGCTGACCAGCCCTGGAGCTGCCTACGCGGGTCTACACAATATTTCTCCTCAAATGAGTCAGCAGCAGCAGCAGCGGCAGCGTATGGGAGATCTCCGGTGGTGAGTGTTTGCCGTTAGTGCGTTCAGTGTTGAGAGCGGTTTATATTAAATGTAAGACCTGAGGGGTTAAATCTAATTCAGTCTCTTTGTAATTTGAGGAGTATTGCTATGGAGAACATGAGTTAAACAGTCTTCCTTTGCCTAACTCCATATTTAATACACCTTTTCATTTTGCTTGGGGAAAACTCTAGGTTGGTTTTGATCCACATCATCACATGCGAGTCCCAGGCATCCCTCCCAACCTCACAGGCATCCCAGGAGGAAAACCGTGAGTATCAAACATTCGACTTTAAAAGTCAATCATCTGTTGAAGTCGTGTTCCCTTGCCAGTTGGAATTCCCCTTAGCTACCAAAAACTGTTGTGCGAATAAAAATAAGTATAGCTATTTGGCAAGGGCAGGAGAAAGAAACACTGTTTGATGTTAAAGTTGCATTTGTAAATTTGTTTTGAAGACTAATAAGAGGTGACAAGGACTGGGTGATACAGAGTAAAGGAGACAGAAATAAATGGAAAAGGAGATGAACTTTGAGATGTTACGTGCTGAATCCGACTGGTTGGTCTTATATGGAAATGTAAACTGGAAAGGGATCTCGACTTTCCATCTCCACTGTACTCTGTTTCTCAGTTTAAAAAAATGATTTCTTTGTTCACAAAAGCCTTGCAATTACTTGCAACCTTATCGACTGCTATAAACAGCAGTGTGCAGAGTAAGGAACACTGAAATGTTTTGTTTGATTGAAAATACTGGAAAGAATTATTATATCATAATGTTCAAATTCATCCTTGATGGAACTGACTGTAAAAGGTGACCTGCTCTACCAGGCTTTGCTTGTTGTGAGCCTCAGAAAAAGAATTACACGGATATGAAGAACTCTCTGCTCACAGCCCTCTTGAGTTAGAGAGGGGAAAAAATAAAACAGCGATGCAAACCATATTGATCCAGATATTATGTAAGGGTCCTCCAGTTCCACTTCTTGCATGACACTTGTGAGAAACTGTGACCAGCTAATACTGGAGAGTTTGGAGGGCAGGAGGTGTTTGTGCCAGTCCTTCTCTTGCTCTCGTATGTATAAATGTGTTTGTGGAGGACGAGTTGAGGTGTAGTCACACACGTAGATGCATGTGAGTAAATGCATATGCTTACATGCCAGTGAGCTTGCAGACACACAGGGTTAATAACATACCATGGTGACAAGCGATCCATCCTAGTGCCTATAACTCCTCTTGTACATGTGTGTCACACAAATCATAAACCATGTCCAGCACTCTCAGACATCACATGCTGGTGGTCACCACAAGTTTACTTTTCTACTCGTTGCGCTGTCCCGTTAGGTGGCCGCATAAAGCAAGTATGAAAATTGGTGTGCAGCAGCTCCTGGACCAACTGCTTGCTTTAAAAATTCTGTAGGGCACAGATCTTCATCCTATGTATGCAGCAGGCACTTAGAAACGTCTTGGCGTAGTGTTTAAATGTTCGCTGGGTTCAAGTTCATCCCTGGTGGAGTTGGTCACCCGGAATAAAGGGCGACCAGCTCTCCCAGGACTTACTTAGCATGATCTGAGAAATGGCAACACCAGAGGTGTTGAGAATTCCCTGCTCACAACTTGCTCCTGTTAGAGATGGGGGCAATACAACGCGAGGCAAACTGGAATCAAACTTGTTCAATTCTGGTGCATCTCCAAGGTTTTTGAATGTTGTTGCCTTACTGGTGACTGTTTTAGACATGTAAATACATCTGTCATTTGTCTGCTGTAGGGCCTGAAACCTTTGAAATCTGTGGTTGTTTTAGCATGATTGCATTGATTTTTCTTCATCTTAAGTGCGGTACTTTTCACAGCTGTCATTCAGGATTGTTGCTTTCTCATTTACTCTTCCTTTCCCTTAGAGTGAAAGTTGTGTAAATTCTCTGCGCTGTTGAGTGTCTGTTGAAATGGAGCAGGCAGCATGTGGCACATCAGGGATCTGGCCCCTAATAACTCTCTTTTCACTTCGGAGATACATCAAAATGCTGAGGATTGTACAATATATAAATAGAAAACGTAGCGAATGTGAAAAGAAGAAAAAAGTGCTTGCCAGGTGTTTATAGTGTTGGATATTTGTAAGATATTTAGAGTATTCGAAATAAGCTACATGCAGTGTTAGTTCTCAGAGTGAAAAAAACTCAAAACACTCAACCACCACAAAACCAAACCAAGTAAGAAAGCAACAGTTTAATCACACGTGCTGGTATGGAGTATTGAATAGAGTGAGAATAATGTAGTCACAGATGACTCCAGATCTAAGCTTTACTTCTGTAATTGTTAAATATATTCCCTGTGTACTTCATAAGCATGCTAAAAATTGCGTTGACTGATAGAAGTATCCTACACTCAGTGCTCAACATGGCCCTGCAGAGAGTGACTGCATACAAAAATCAGAAAAGATGATAATGAAGTTCCACTTGTTTAGTTAGAGATTTCAGGTGACCATCAGCTGCATTTTCCAGTACCTTACTGCAGCAAACAGTAATTAGGGAGATAACGAGGAAGATATTTCAGATTTCTGTGGTGGTAATCGAACCCTGATCTATTCATATAGTCAGTTTGCTGCTTCTTACAACCACAGAAGTCTGTCCTACCCTTTCCTGAATGTGTTTAATGTCAAAAAGTAGAGAATGATGAGATGATCTGGCACTCAGACCTGCCAGAACAAGAAACAGAGCGCAGGTTGAGAAGAGTGTGTAAAGCTCTGAGAATAGGGCAGGAAGGTGAAAATGTGGTTGCATTTTGTCCCACTGAAAATTATTGTTCTACTGTTAATGTACTATGAATCTTAAATAACAAATTCAGTAGTCGAATTCTGAAGTCTGCCTTCTTCAGTGACTTTGAAGCAACAGTTAAGGAAGTGATCTTCCTAAGTATTCCACCAAAATGATTTTTTGTAACCTCGTCTCATCCCAACATATTGACAATGGACTTTTCATCAGTACTGTGACGATTTTTTAGCTCTAAGGAAATTAAAGCCTTCTGTTTAAGCATACCTTGGTGCGTGTAGGTGAACCCTCTTACAGAGTTTGTGCTCTTGTAATAGATGTGATGTGTCAGGTAGCATCTCAGAACAAGACAATTTCACAGCCTAACTGTTCTTCCTGGAAAATATTTTGAGATGAAGCTGTTGATAGGTTATTCACAGGTGGCATAACTGGCAGTCACACAACACATTCTTTCTCAGTGAGAGCCCTGATTCTGGCAAGAGAAATTGGGATTTGTAGTTGTTGTGTCAGGTCCAAACACACACACACGCACACACAAAAAAAAAGCATGGCAGGGAGGGGGAAAGAAAGACAGCAAGTCCAAAAGAAGGAAAAAAAGTTCCAATGCCTTTTTGCTGGTCTGTCACGTCAAATGTCAGCAACTGTGCCTTGAGGACTTCTTGATGGTGGGGGTTTCACTGCACTCTGAGATACAGTGCTGGGCAGTTCTCGCTCAAGGGTCATGGGACCCGTGGTGCATTCAGGGCAGCCTGGCAGCAGTCCAGCTGAAATTTGCACATTAAAGTCAGTAAGGGAGCAACTATATGTCCCCTGGCGCTCAGCTACCCGCCATGCTCTGCAGCAACCGGCCAACGATTTCTGTCTTCCAAGGGACTCTGACCCCACCTTCCTTCCCTCTCTGCATACGGTGGTCTTCCTGTGCCCCAAGTTCAAGAGTAGTGTCTGTGTATCCTCTCTTGGGCCAGAAATCATCATTGCATGAGTTGTAAAAGCTGATTCAATTGGTAGATGGTGCTTGTCTTTCCAGATTAAAAGAAGAGTCCCTAAGTTTATGCTTTGAGGGCCATGCTATATAGATAAATACAAAATTTCTCTTCACGTGGCTAAAAAGATTGCACAAGGAGCTGCATGCATAATCAGAATGTCTGCACTGGAAACACACCTTTAATTCTGTTTTCTTAAACAGGCTTGAAGGAAAACTTCTTAAATCACCCCCCTGCATCTTTTTTTTCCCCTCAGAGCATACTCATTTCATGTAAGTGCAGATGGTCAGATGCAGCCGGTTCCTTTCCCTCCTGATGCCCTCATCGGTCCGGGGATCCCTCGCCATGCCCGTCAGATCAACACTCTGAACCATGGAGAAGTTGTGTGTGCAGTTACCATCAGTAACCCCACGAGACACGTGTACACGGGTGGGAAGGGGTGCGTCAAAGTCTGGGACATCAGCCACCCTGGCAACAAGAGCCCCGTCTCTCAGCTGGACTGCCTGGTAGGTGGACAGCAGTGTACAACAGTGGAAGAAGACAGCAGGTTGTGTTAAGATTGAAATGATACCGTTAAGGTACAAACAACAGGGCTACTTGAGTTCTGTTATTGGTATCAAAGCTTGACATCTCATTTGTAGTTCGGTTGTTTCCTTTAGAACTGAGTTTGAAGTATGTTCCATGTTGTGCTTGCGTTTTTTCGCCCCCAATGAATCAAAACATCTTTAATATCCTAAAATTGTATTGGTAGGGGGAAAGATCAAAGACAGCACAGCAAATATTGTTTATAAACTTTGACATTTGTTGGCAATCTTAAAGCTTGATAGCCTATCATGCTGAAAATGGCTGTCTTGCAGCTGTTTTCTCCGAGAATATTTGAAGGTTGTGTCACGTATTTTGTGTCTGTGTATGTGTGTGAATGCATTGTGCTTGTCTTAATGTGACAATTAAAAATATCCCTGAGTGTTATTCACAAATTATTTGAATGTGCTAACAAGATGAACCATTGTTAGCAGCTTTTCTCGTGTCATTTACCAGTTCTTGGTAAGATGTTGCTTCTTGTTACAGAGGCAGTAAAATGAAAACTGCAGCACATGTAGACATATAATGAATTGCTACACAAGTTGCTACACAAATGAAGAAAATTGCCCAAATATTTTCCTCTGACATCTCCTAGATGGTGGCAGCAAGTCTCACTGGAACAGAGCAGGGGGAGCGTGCAGGGAATTTGGTATTCCCCCATGCTGAGAGGTTAATGTGTTGAAATAAACAGAGTATGAAAATGTAACTTTCTACACAAACTGTCGAATACAGCTATCTTGAATTGTTTTGGGCTGGGTTCAGGTCTTTGCATTTTGATGCTAATTAAGATTAAATATCTCTCACTACTGAATTTTGTAGATCAAGTTTAAGTACTTCCCTAATGTCATGTAATTTTCTGGCATTAATACACTTTATCATTGTCATAAGTATAAATGGCTCATTAAAACCAGGAGGGAATACAATACTTTTATGGATTTCTGCTCTCATGTTAATGCCGTTTTCCTTTCCTCATGAGTAATCTCTTGATGGCTTCTGTCTCCACAGAACAGAGATAACTACATCCGTTCCTGCAGATTGCTCCCCGACGGCCGCACCCTGATAGTTGGTGGGGAAGCCAGCACGTTATCCATTTGGGACCTGGCAGCTCCAACTCCTCGCATCAAAGCAGAGCTGACATCTTCTGCTCCGGCGTGCTATGCCCTAGCTATCAGCCCGGATTCCAAGGTTTGCTTCTCTTGCTGTAGCGACGGGAACATTGCAGTGTGGGATCTGCATAACCAGACTTTAGTAAGGTAGGTCGACAGAACTGGATCATCAGATTGTGAAGAATTAATTAGACGCAGCCTTACGTGCTCTTTTGCGTACACATGCTATTTTCTCCGTCGTGTCTGCAGAGCTGCTTCTATTATTTCATTGCTAGGCAATAGCTGTGGTAATACTTTGACGAAAGTCTGTATAATTGTTTATAGGTTTTGAGAGTTTCATAATTCCAGGCCTGTTGAGCAGCCCATAACTATAATTTCCTAAGATCAGCTGGTGTTGACACTGCTGTAGGTTCTTTGAACAGATGGTTTTCTTTGTTTCCGTGCAATATGCTGTGCTCACGCTCCAATCTCTTTAATCAGTTCTCCAGCAAACATGTCCTGGGTAAAGATGTGTGTAAATTACTGCATTGCAAACTTAGCATCTTAGGAGTATGGGTTTGCTGCTCAACACTAAGGTACAGTAAGCTAAGAGCCAGTCATGCAGAGTTTCTCTGAGCACTGCACTGTATGTATGTTGTTATATGCAATGTGTCAGTACTGCATGTAAAGGCAGGCTTTTATTCCCTGACGTTCCCATTTAGACTGCTCTTTTTTTCCTACCTTTGTTGGTGACCTGTAGATTCTTCTTAAACTAAGTATATTTTCACGATCCTTTGGGAGGAGTAGGGTATTTTCAGTCAAATAGTGGGTATCACGCAGTCAGCAGCAAAGATCCCCAGAGCATCTGACTCACAAAGTGTGCTTTTTGAAATCAAATTAGCACTTGGCTGTCTGGCCTGATTGCTTCATCACTTCATCATGAACTCACGTGGTTGTCTCAGAGTTTGTATTAGTCTCAGATTGCTATTGGAATCTACGTTACAGTTGTCTTTAATGGCTGCATGTCAGGGACTGGAAGAAAAAAAGAGGTATTTTGTATACATGCTCAGAACCAACTCATTCCCATGTGAGAACGTGCATATCTTCTTTCAATATTTTCAGGCAATTTCAGGGCCACACGGATGGAGCGAGCTGTATTGACATTTCTAATGATGGCACCAAACTATGGACGGGAGGCTTGGACAATACAGTCAGATCCTGGGATCTCAGAGAAGGGAGACAGCTACAGCAACATGACTTCACATCACAGGTTCAATCTGAGAAGCTCTGGCATGTTAAGAAAAATCTATCATGGTTTTCTAAACCAAGCACTTTCGATTTTGGGTTTTTTTTAAGAGAAAAAAAAAAAAAGCAGGCTTAAAGAGAACTCCAAAGAATTTTTCACTTAGTCTCACACACTTTTTTTTTTTTTCTGATGTGGCTGCTAAACATCTGTCTGGATTATGACTATTTGACAGATTAGTACTTCTCCCACGAGAGTAGTGGAGAATCCTTTTCCTAAAAAAATTGCCAGATTAAAGTGTTCCTGCATGCAATGTGTTCCCGTTTCTGTAGATTCTTATTCAAAAATATTTTACAAAAATATTTTTAAGTGCTGTCAGATAAGCTAGGACGTTAGCTTTTATAACCTGATTCAGTGCTTTACTATTACCATTTTAACTGAGCTTTGTTTACATGAACTGATTTATCTTGATTACTATAGTAATTGGATTATCATGTTTTTAAAACTGTAGTAGACCAAAATGTGTTTTTTGCATAGTGTTAACAGCGTAGCAAGAGTCAGTTCTGGATACCTTAGACTCGTTCGTTTACTGATTGAAACATGTGTTGTGCTAATTTCAGATCTTCTCACTGGGCTATTGTCCAACTGGTGAGTGGTTGGCAGTAGGAATGGAGAACAGTAACGTCGAGGTACTGCATGTTACTAAGCCGGACAAGTATCAGCTGCATCTTCATGAGAGCTGTGTGTTGTCACTCAAATTTGCTCACTGTGGTAAGCAAGTCTTTCTATGCCAGCGTTTTCCCTCCTGAGAAATTTGTTCAAGATTATGTTTATATGAACGTAGAGGTATAGCTAAAATCAAATGTTACACTGAAGTATTAAAATTATTTCTTAAATTCTGTGTGATTGCTTTTTTGCATGAACTGCTTATGTTGTGATCGAACATCATAGTGCAACCAGGTGAAAATGTGACTGTTCTTTGGATGTGTTTTTCATTGATGTGTGAATGCATTGTTTTTATGATTAATCTGTTTCTTGGGGTGTATTCCTTGAAAACAGAATGCAACAATAACATTTAAACAATCTGTTGCAGGCAAGTGGTTTGTAAGCACTGGAAAAGATAATCTTCTTAATGCCTGGAGAACACCTTATGGAGCCAGTATATTCCAGGTAATAACCTCCTAAAAGCTATTTTCCACATACATTACAGTGCAGTAGAGCTGCACATCTTGGGGTCTGTCATTAGCTTAAGGAGTTTTTAAATGGAAATTCTTGGCTAATTACTATGTTCCTTTAAGACTTTGTCTGTAATTAAAGAGAGGTACACTTTTGTCCTTTCTAACATTTAAGTAATTTAAGCCTTGCAATAAAGTAGCCCTGTAATCTGAAATTGTTTTTAATACCCTTCTTTCTTACCTTCTTGTGCGTATTGCTGTAATACAGTACCCAAGTCATGTTGCAAGATGAGCATTCGCTGAATGTTTAAAATGTAGCTGAAACAGGGAAAGTCATAATCAAAATGTGTGTTTTTCCTGGGTGAGATGCATAAAGGCAGTGGATTGGACAGGCAGACTCCTGAGCCGAAGACTGTATCCTTATGGAGGAGCCCTGTGGAGTGTAACTGGAAGTTGTAAAGTTTCTATAGTCTTTAATCCCTCTGTGCCCAATTTTAACAGCTCTTCAGTGCCACTAAAGAAAAGTGGGATTTTTGGCATGTCCTTCACTTTTCACCTACAGGTACCTCTAGGCTGGGAATTTTTTGAGTGAAGTTAACTGGTGTTTTGGTTTTAATAGTCAAGTCTCACCTGGGCTGATACCTGTTATGTCTCTGCCTTTGGGGACAGCACAGTTTGCCTTGACATGAGAGAGCTGAGGTCTGAGTTTTCTTAGTGAAGGCTATTGAGCTCCAGAACTAGCTCCCAAGATAACCCAAATCATCCTAACAAGAAGGCATCCCCCTTCAAAGTCATGTTAAAACGCCAGTGCAGCTTTCTTAATTGAGGGGTAGAGGAAGAAACTTCTGTGCAGTGTAGCAGAGGTTTCTTGGCAAAAACTTAGCATGATTGGGAAGCGTTTAGCTCTTGCAGTGACAGGCAGAAAAGGATGTGGATGTATGTTATGTAAAGAAAACATGGACTAAAACAGCAAGTGAAATGCGACAATACATGCGCATCATCTCAGCAAAGACAGAAAAGCTAGGAGAGAGAGCTGCTGCATCCTGGTGTATCCTATCTCCATTCACCTGCTGTACACTCTTGGCATCCTATTCCACCACATTATCTTTTCGTATTTGCAGCCTCCCTGGTAATGTAAGTTCCTTTGTGCAAGGCTTTTGTCTTCTGTGTTGGAGAAATAGTGAGAGGAGGGACAGTTACTTCTGTAGAGTCTCTTTGTTTCATACCTGTGGGTGAGTAGGGCTTTGGAGTGCTTTTCCGTACGGATTTCTGGTTTACAACCAGAGGCAAGAAGAAGATGGCTTTTCATTCATTTTTATGCGAAAGCTAATCAATGATATATTAATAAATGCTCATTGCTTGTAAAGTGTATAGAAAGGACTGCTGCTTTTTCTTTGATTGATAGATTATCTCTAGGTGTGTAACAATCACTTCTCTTTCTGCTGCTGTTTTTTGTTGCCATAGTGCTTTAGGTGGAACAAGTTTGGAGAAACAGTCTTGTAACAAAAGCTGCTACTATGGTACTGATGTTTAAATGAGCTTTTTTTTGGTTTATTTCCTTTCCATAAACTCTTCCAATTAATCTTCAAGCCTTTCCGGATGGAAGGATTGCTACAATTTTTATTTTATTTTTTTTTCTTTCTTGTAGTCCAAAGAATCCTCATCTGTGCTTAGCTGTGATATCTCTGTGGATGACAAATACATAGTCACTGGCTCTGGGGACAAGAAAGCTACAGTCTATGAAGTTATTTATTAGAGACAAATCTGAATGCAGACAGAACTCCTTCTCCTAGCACTTTGCTGTATATTCTTTTTTTCTTTTTTTTTCTTTCTAAACTGAGAACTTAAATACTCATCACAGTTGTGGGATTTATTTTTACCTTCCTAACTTGCTATTGATTTGTGAATGCTCATTAAGAACTTGTGATACCAAATTGTCAGATATCTGCTTGGAAGAAGATGGAATAAGCCTACTTAACAGTGAACTTGACTCTTTAATTATGTATTATAGCTGTAATGTATTTATTTTGTTTAAAGAAGGCTTTCTAACAATGAACTGACTAAATAAAGCTGTCTGGCCCGGCTTTAGTTTGAAAGGTGCATTGTATACTTTGTGTTTTTGCAGATGAATGAATTGGGGATCTTGGAGAAGGATGTTCAGGAGATAGTTAAAGTTACACTAAATAGACTTGTAGTTTCTATTTAAAAAGAATAAACTTTGTTATATTTTTTAGTCCTGTTCTTGGATGAGACCTCTTAAGTGTTATTACAGTATAATTATTTGGTGGGAAGATGCTGTATCTTAACTATTTTAGACAGTCTTGGAAACCTAGGAAATTGCAAACTGTAGCCAGTAATCTACATGCCTGTGATAAATGGCAAATTCAGTTCACATCTAAATTAAATTCACTTTAAGTAAGAATGTGCTAATTTATATATTTGCAATGTTAATATAGCATCTTGTGTACAGATTTGTTCTCAATGCTTTTCTGTTGATAAACATAAAGCATTTTGGTGTCAAGCTAGGTTTTTTAATATAAACACCTCTCTTTGTTATATTGTAGAGAGTACAATAAGTTGCCTCAAAGAATCACCTTTGTTACTTCTGGAAACTTTTGCAATGTTTCCTTGAAAATGGGGATATGTGTCTTTGGGCAATTTTTCAATTACAAGAGATTATGAAAAATATTTGATATGTTCTTTGGAAACTGCACTGAAATAAGAATGGATGCCTACCAATATACAAACTACAAAAGCAATGACCTCCGAGGTAGGATGTACAAGAGTACTCATTCCAACATACAAAAAGGAATGGATTCTCATTGGGATAAGGACTTGTTTTGTTCGCCAGCAGTTCAATCCAGGTCTTGATTGGATGTCTCTAAACCGGACGCAGACTGAGCCATTGTGCCAGAGACAACGTGTTATCTTTTTATGTTGTTGTTGTTGCTGTTAAACTATGATCTGTGACTTTTTTTTTGAATGCTTTAAAAAAGAATCTTTAAGTCTGTGGATCTGCTGATGTACAGTGCCTTTGCTGCTATGGATCAAAATCAAAAGACCCGTGTAGATAAATCTTATTGTATAAGTAGAAAATTACTTAATTTCATACTAGAAATGGATTGATGCTGCAAGTTAAAATGGACTGTTCATTGAAGTTCCAAATGTGGTAGCAAAAAATGGTGTCTTAAGTGCTTAGTGTTTGATGTCATTAACAGTTTCGTAATACTCTACATTGTAGAAAAATTTTGATACTAAACTGTGTCATTGTACATAGTTCTAATGCATTGTATTGACCACCAGTACTTCTATAATGGTAGATTATTGTTTGTGCATTCAGACTTTTAAGCATTAAACATAAGTAACTTCTAAGATGCATTTTTCTTTTTTTTTTTTATTTTATTTTTATTTTTCCCCCTCCCTCGCTCTTTTTGTGTGTGATAATCTCAGTTCTGTGTGCGGAATGCTATCTGTAAGGACAACAGGCATTCAGTCACGGAGCATGCCGCTGCAGATGCTGCGTGCTTTTGTCACTGAGAGGCAACGTAGAGTTTCACAAAATTTCTCTGAGCTAGCAAAATCAATCAATTTGTAGTTTCCCAGGTTACCTGACTGCAGTGATTCTGAACTGTGGAGGCATCAGCCACGAGACTTTGGCCATGTCACCTGGGAGTTTGCCACATCCCGTTTGTGTCATTTACTGTCTGATACAAAGCTTTATGTTATCCCATACCTTGGAGAGAGTGAACCTGGGGATGTTTCCTGCTCCCATGCCTGCTGAAGTATGTGGAGCTCAGCAGGACACGAGGTGTCGTGTTGCGCTGTAGTGTCACACCTGGATTTCTCCATCCATGAGCTTTCCCATGCCTATGGGAAGGGCTTCTCTTCACTACAGTTGGGTTTAGATCAAGAATTTAACCCAGCTTCTGTTGAGATAAGACACAGGTTAAAGTGAACTAGGGGAAATTAATTTGTACACTATTGGGTGCTGAGGGGTGGGGATGGGAGGGGTCCTGCTATTCATAACGGGAGAAATGGAAATGGAAAAAAATCCAAGGGGAACTTGAAATTAAATCTTTCTCTCGTAGCCCATTTCTGAAAAGTGACTGTGTGCATGTTGGAAATTTCCAGGCACGTTAGCCTGTCCTGCTATGACGTGCCAGCCTGTGGTGACTGCTGGTATGTGGACCCAGGCTGAGAATTTTTTTTGATTTTTGAAAAGCCAAAGCAAGGTGTAAGCTGGTGAGACCATTTACCTGTACCGTGAGTGAACGGGTAATACTTATTGATGGAGGAGCGCGTAGAGGAAAGTTTACCTCAGTTATCAGTTTCCTTAGAGTTGATGGTGTTTTCCAGATGTCCCCCAGAATAATTTAAGTTCTCACTGGTATTGAGGTTCTATATTACTCAGTACAATAACGCTTCATAAAGGTAAACAGAGTACAGATGCTTTCTGTTAATTGTTACTCTTGTCTGAAGAGATATAATTTACCTGTTACTAATATTATGTAGGAGACACCTTTTATTTTCGAAGACATTCAAAAATTTAAAAGGCTAGGGTGTACTCCATTTGCTAGCAAAAGAGGAACCACCTACTTAATGTTTGCAGAGTGTGTTATATTTGTAGGTAGTACTTCAGGCATAAGAGATTACTTAAAACCCCTAAGATCAAGCATTCCTTGAAAAAGAATGAAATATTGCATACTCCAGAATTTGTACCAGAGCTAGTTTTGACAGCAAAGTAATATACTTTTAAAGCAGCCTGCCATATATCTGCTTATTAATGTTTGTATTGATGGCTTGTAAACAGTCTAGGAATTAAATGCTTAAATCCAGGATTACTGTGGTTAAATGTGTAATCATCCTAATTTTTTTCCCCTTCAGGATTCAGTGCAAGTGAGAGATGATACAGAGCTACTTTCTGTTTTTCTGTTAAGCAAACATAGAGTCATCTTCCTTTTCCATTCTTCAGTTTCTCTCACCACTGCATAGCACAACTTTGTGCAAAATGTTTTGTTATGGATGTATTTTGTGCCACAAACATGTGGACAGCATACTCCATATTCAAGGTACAACAGTTGCTTTCTCTGTGTTCTTCTTCCCCTCCCAAAAGTTGTTTACTGCAATGATACATTAGGAAAGCCGTTTCTTTCTAATCTTTGTATCCTTTCTGACTGGCCAGTATAGACACGTTTAAGGGGAGCGCTTTCCATCAAAATAGTATTTTGGAAAAATATGCAATTTTAAATTACATTTTTCCTGCTTGTTCTTAGCCAAAAGTGATTTTTCTCTCCAATTTCTTTCTAAGCTACTCAGTTTTATAAAAAAAAAAAAAAAAAAAAGAAGATGCATTTTACCGGCTGTGATTTTTCCTGTATGGGGGATTTTAAGTCCATACTGGAATAGTTCAAGTTGGATTTTGTATTTGTTTTGACTCTGGCACCAGAAACACAAGAAATTCCTTCTTCCTGAAATATGGATGAGTGTGTGAGGGAAACAGGAAGGTCTATGTATGTATGCAGTATCATCTTAGACAGAAACACAGGTCAGATCCTTGGCACAGATGAACTTACCTGTGCCGAAGACAACAATGCTCCCATGACTTACGTAGCTGAAAAACTAGCTCACTGCTATAGGCATAGAGGACCTAATCAACCCATTTGGATTGAGGTTTTTTGTTTTGGTTTGGTTTGGTTTGAACAGTTTAACCTTTTGAGCCTCTTCTGTTTTCCTGCTAGCATGTTTATTTGTGATCATCCCTACTGAAAGCCTGATGTGACCAGCTTCTACTCAAGGATTTATGCTCTGAAAAAAATGAAAAAAATTGAAAAAAAAATTGTTAAATAAAATATGCTCAAGTTTTTGTATGTGCAGGAGTCAGGAAATTGAAAGCAGTAGCTTGGGTCGCAACTGTTTCTGATTTGCATTGAATATACTACATCTTTGTGACATCAAATTAGCACTGAATACAGCCATGCAAAACAGGCTTTAGAACATCAAGTATGGCTACTGAGAAAAGCATTGCTTTGAATTTTTCACAGCAAATGCGTGCTGAAGAACTCAGCCAAAAACCTGTTCTTATCATGGGGTATGCGGGAGGAGTAGTTTCATTCAGTACTGAAGACCTTTTCTCATATTAACACTTTGTAGTGACCACAGTGGTGTTGAAGAGGGTTGGGCAGTGTGGGCTTGTGCACCCAGCCAGTTCTGCCATGTATTAACGTGAGAAACTCCTTCCCAGCCATAGCAGGAGATGAATCCTGGAGTAGTGTGCTGTAGAAGATCATCTCTGACAAGCTCTTAAATAATGCACCTGCCACGTCTGCTTTTGAACCAAGAGTTACTGAACACAACCCCTGAGATTTCACGTTTCTTCCGGTATTTGGAGTGCAGCGTTTCCACCTCACAGCAAGAAATTTTTATGTCAAAACCAATAAATGTTCTTACTCTTACCAAATGATTTTCTGTCCCAGTTACAAGGAAACAGTATTATCGTGTCTTTTTTTATTATTAAAAATGATGTAGTCTGACATTTACAACATGTCCATAAACCTGCCGTCAAGTGCAAAGAAGCTCTTCTGGGTAGTCACTTTGACTCACGTGGTTGCGTTCTAAAATGTTGTTGCAGAAATACATTTTTTTCTTTTTTGGGGAGGATTAACCTGTGATATTTTATGCATAGCGTACATATTAAGGGAGGGACTGTCTAGTAGTTACTTCTGCATCTGTGGTTTGGACTTAGCTGGTTACCCCAGAATGCTAAAATGCATCTGAAGAGTAAAATCAGTAAGTACAAATATTTAAGGATTTTTTAAAAAGTTCTGCTGCTCTACGGTAATTATATTGACCCAAACTGTCTTTTAATGTCATATCAAGGCAAGCATCTGTATTACACCTTCTTTTCAAATTCACATAAAAGAAGGGGTGGAGGAATTTAAAGCTGATCTTTACCTTTCAATCAAATCTGTTCTTTAAAAATACTCCAGTGCTAGTGCTTGGAGAAGTTATTGTCTTGATTTTATTGTCATTATTCTTGAAGAACTTCATAACGTGCACAATCCACCATAATGCTATAAATGGGAATAGGTGATATGGCTGCTACTAAAAGCCAGATTTTAGACAGTGCTATTGGCATAAAAAAAAAAAAAGTCAGCGTCATGTGGTGGTCAAAGTTGTTACCTCATTTCCTGAGCAAAAGCCGTCTGGATTTTTGGCAGTATATTTGAATGTAT